ATCATTCAGTTTGCTTCAAGCATAATAGTTGCATTTTAAACCATCTTATCTATAGAAAAATAAAAGTCAATTCATGTTTATCTTTATCAACAATTCAAACTAAACGCACTAGTCAGGAATGTTCATCTCAAGGCACTCATACTAAATCATCATCCAATGTAGGGGTCGAAATCAAGTATAGGGCTTAATCAAATCAAGTTTAAGATGAATCAAATCTTCATGATTACAATTTGGAATTAAAGCACGAAGAGTAAGAGGGATAAAAAACTGAGATTTTAACGTATAGATATAATGATATAGATAGTGAATGGTGTCGGTTACAAAAACATATCATTAACATTGAAGATCAAGCCATAAGAAGTCCACTGATGAAGACAGATTATCAATTGAGGGTCTGTTTGCGGCAGCTTAGCTGCTGCGGATAAGTTGGCCGGCTGTTTATTTTTTGCGGTTTGAAAACAGTTGTGCGGTTGCTGTTTCTAGAGAAATGACTATTCTGTCTGTGTGGTAATGTAATTTGTAACAGAACTGTCATAGTCATAAATTTGATACTTCAGAACAGTATAAAAATCCAGATAAATACTGTACTTAATAGTGAGTATCAAGGCTACTAAAATAAAGAAAAACAATAAAAATTACAACCAGTAATATGATAATATTGATTTTAAAATGCATAACACATACATCACAAGCTACGTAGTTTTTCAAAGATGATATCCATTCCTAATCACTGTCGGCAATGAAATCTATCGAACTGTCTGCCCACCAGAAGAACTCACACTTCTCCGGACTGTCTGCCCACTGCGGGCACTTGTAAAACTTTCTCCTATGGTTATGCGTCTGACGTGACATAAGTATAGAAGTTTGAAATCTGGAACTCACACTTCTCCGGACTGTCTGCCCACTGCGGACACTTGTAAAACTTTCTCCTATGGTTATGCGTCTAACATGACGTAAGTATAGAAGTTTGAAATCTACAGTGGCAGAGCATCTATAAGCATTTTATTTCTTTTTTTTTTTTAAATCCTCGTGCAGACCACCCAATTGATATGTATTGACATATCTAACGACTAAACTTCATTTTTTACATAAAATTTACCAACAAAAATATCAAGCCACCAAGAAATTACTGCAAAACCACGACACACTCCATTGCAAACACATAGACCACATCAAACCGCCACCCACAAAGCCAACACACTACTAAAACAACAACAAAACAATTTTAGGACATTTACATGCATATCACAAAACTCATGTCTTTTACATATCTCACACCTAAACTTTCATATATAGACACATAGCACAAAATACTTTCACATTAACTTCAAAATTTTGGTACTTTTGATGGATAATCTACATGAAATTTTCTATCTATTGGTACCGTTGTGTTACGTTATAACATGAATTTACACTGGCCTGAACATCATCTTATCTACCTTTAAGAAATTTGATAACGAATCTTTGATGGACAATATCCCAAATAATAAGCATTCACATGCATAGCACTGAATTCCTATGTATTTACATATCAGACATCAAAACACCCAAATAAAAAGCAATCACATGGATACTTGCCTCAAAAGAACTCGCCCAAATCTTTCATTTCACAGTTCCTCAAGTTCTAGTTCAAAAAACATATAATAAAATCATTGTGTACCACTGGTAAACAGACACAACATGAATCAGGTAAGGGGATGGGCGACAAAACCCTACTTGAAGTCGAAGGGAGAAGGAGAAGAGGAAGCGCAAGATCGCAAAGTTTGGGTCGTGGATTAAACGCGTCTCCTTCTCCCTTCGACTTCAAGTAGGGTTTTGTCGCCCATCCCCTTACCTGATTCATGTTGTGTCTGTTTACCAGTGGTACACAATGATTTTATTATATGTTTTTTGAACTAGAACTTGAGGAACTGTGAAATGAAGCGCGAGATCGCAAAGTTTGGGTCGTGGGTTAAACGCGCCGCGCCTCACATAGAACGTCATCCCAAACCACCTAAATTGGCGGATCTTTGTGCCCCCCCCCCCCCGCGGCGCGACCCAAGCAGGGCCTGAATGTATGATGCTCAAAGTTAGGATACATGATAGTTACACCAATTGATGACGATCAAGAAGAAATAGGACTTGATGTCGTCAACTAGTCCAAGGAGCCACACCTAACAACCCAACAATAAATGGGCATGATTTGGGTTTGAATTCAAAATTAGAGTTCGCTTGTTTTATAAAGTTAGCTTGGATATCATAAGCTTGAATTTAAATTTAAATATCCTATGATTTGCCAATAGATATGCTCTTTACTTTATAAAATCAATTCAACTCTCATTTGGATCTTTATCTCTTCTCCTCACTCTCTCTCCTCCCAACAGTTGGCCTCTCCAATTCAAAAAATCGTTGTATGTTGTGTTTCCAAATGCCCCATAGTGTAGGTTGAAAACCCCCGTCACCACCTCCTACAACTCCCAGCACCACCAACCTCTCCTTCTGACTTCAAATATTGTTGTTGCAAGCTGTCCAAGGTCTGGTCATGACTACAAACAATGAAGAAAAAGAATTTCTTTTGTAGGACACCTTTTATTTCCCAACCAGCGAATAATAAAAAGAATAATAATAAACACATATGAAAGAGCCTAAACTTAAGAGATGAAATCTATAGAGTAAGAAAACACGATCTAGTTATCACTACTTTGATTAATTTATTACTTGAAGAAGAAAAAGGAAAAACAAATCCTACAGTGATCAAACCTAATGGACAAGGGGGAACAATCCCTATTCTTGTGGTCTGCTGGCAATGCCAAAGGATATAGTAGTGAGATTGACAAATCGAATGGACGCATGGGAGGAGTTGTTTAGTTTAAGAATGTAGGTCAAGCAAAAAGCGATCAACGCCATCATAATGTATGATGCTCAAAGTTAGGATACATGATATTTAGACCAACTCATGACAATCAAAAGGAAATAGGGATCGATGCTGTCAACTAGTCCAAGAAGCCACACTTAACAGCCCAACAATGAATGGGCCTAATTTGGGTTTTTAAATTCAAAATTATCATAAGCTTGAATTTAAATTTAAATATCCTATGATTTGTCTATAGATATGCTTGTTTAATTCTATAAAAGCAATTCAACTCTCATCTGGACCCTTATCTCTCCTCCTCTCTCTCCTCCAAACACCTGGCCTATGCAATGCAAATAAATTGTTGCATGTTGTAGTTCCAAAGGCCCCATGGTGTAGGTTGCAATCCCCCACCACCATCTCCTACAACTCCAAGCACCACCAACCTCCCCTGTTGACTTCAAATATTGTTGTTGCGAGCTGTCCAGGGTCTGGTCATGACCATAAACAATGAAGAAAAAGAATTTATATGTTTTTACAATAAACCAAAAATAAAAATGCAATAACCCATTATTTACCAACCAGAGAATAATAAAAATAACAATAATAAACGCATATGAAAAGAGCCCGAGAAGAGATGGAATTTACAGTAAGAAAACACGATCTAAGTATCACTATTTTGATCAATTTATCACTAGAAGAAGAAAAATGGAAAAAGAAGAGCAAATCCTATAGTGATCAAAACCAATGTGTTGCGTCTAATGGACATGGGAGAACAATCCCTATTCTTGTGGGCTAGTGGCAATGCCAAAGGATATAGTAGTGAGATTGTCAGATGGAATGGACACATGGGAGGAGTTGCTTAGTTTAAGAATGCAGGTCAAGCAGAAAGTGGTCAACTGCATCATAACACTGATAATTACAAGAAACTCATTTCTATAATCTAATGTAGTAATTCACTATATCCCACCAAACACCAATTATTTAGGTTAAGGGGGTCAGAGATAAAGATGATTGTTAGTACCAACTCATATTCACAATCACAATGAGCTATATCGATGAGATGATATGCAAAAAAAGTTTCACTACAATCAATGAAGTCATCTTTGGCAGCACATACCTTCATGATAGGTATCCTATATTGCACTGGCAACTTTATAGTGACAGTTCACTAAAGATAGGACCTCTGTTGAAAAAATATTATGATATTC